TTGTCCCTACCAAAGTTCATGATTCGATTCAGTGGACCCATAAAAAAGCTTGACCTCGTGTTATATTACCTTCTTTTGAAGCCAGAACTAAGTAACACTTTTACCTGACTGCTATATAGACAATAAGATAAATTATTATTGTGGTTCAAGGTTCCCATGCATGTGGTATATTTATATGGTACAAAGGCTTTGTCTGGGTTACTGTTTTACCTGCTTTGAGAACTTCTTTATCTGAAATGCTTAACTTTCTTTCAACAATTGTAATTGTTCCGACTACTGTAATTAGCTTATTTAAAGTCCTTTGTTAATAGTAATGGTGTTTTGTTTACTACGAGTGGACACCCAGTAGTCGAAATCTCTATTCCATTATACGCTATCTTTTCCCTAGATTGATAAGTAAAAGTAAATAAAAAGGTACGTCATACTATTTATCATTATTGATATACAGGGTGTCCCTGAAACCGTCGATCAAATGGCACCAGGTAATCGGCCAGGTTCCAACAGTTATCAGAAAAATATTAAAAAAAATACACCCTGATCCAGTCTTTCGATTCTTGTTGCTACAATTCTTTATTTTTTCGTCTGTAATTTTGCTTACATTATCCTGAATAGTGCTTCAATATTGTGGAATCATACATTCTGAGCTAACTGCTTTAGTCTTCTACCAATCAAACTACGAGGTCCTGACTGGCGGGTTACTACTACCGAAAATTTTAACGAACGGAATATGATGCATGGTATGTTACTTCTTTCCATACAATTGGAGTTGAGCATCAAATATTATTCAGATAGACGTGATGCACAAACTTGTTCCTTTAGTTGCCGACGAATACTGCGAACGAAATCATGAGTAGACCGATGATGTGGTTTAATAAGCTAGTGGATACGAGATTCTCAGGCGCGCTTTGGGCACCTACATTAGAAAAAAATTTACTAAGTCCAAATTAATTGTTCGACACGGAGTTTCGTTCAAACCTATTTTCTTGCTTCGAATTTAAGAAATAATGAAGGAAGTGAAATATAATTATCATTTTAGAATCTTCAATACATGCTGCAACTTTGGTAAGATATGCCACTACTACCGCAGTACAATTTCTTTCAGTCCAGTCGCTTAAACTGAGGTGAACTTTTTGAACCACTATTATTAGTATTCACAGTGAGGAACAATTAAACAAATCGTTTACAACAGAATATTTTAATTTAATACAAATTTTACATTCACAAAGATTTAACACACATGCTACACTAGAGAGATATAAACAACATTAAAACTAAAATCTCAAACTGTTCTTATAACTATCACTAAAATAAAATAATACAACACTTTTAACAATGACAAAGTTGTAATATTATAATATCAAACGTCAATAATAAGTACGTCGTTTTCTAGAGAATCCAAGCAGGTACTATAGTAAGAGCCGCGATCTTCACCCATTTCCGCGCCGGAGTACTGACCGCTGTCCACAGACTCTATCGACATCGGGAACATGGCCGGCTCGACTGCCACCGGCTGCTCCTTGAAGTATGCGTGCTCTAAAGCTGCGGCTGCTGTTGTTCTTCTTGCAGGATCGTAGGTTAAAAGACCTTGAAGTAAACATAGCCCGTCTTCAGAAAACGATTTCTGACTTATTTTGTTGCGCAACCCGCCCGGTGGATAGTCGTCGAAAATTATGTTTCCTACTGGTGGCAATGAGCTGTAGCCAGGCCAAACTGCGTCAGACGGCGTACCCAAACCCAAAAAGATTCTGTGCACTTGATCCAGCTCAGATGTGCCGGGAAATAGTGGCCGCAAGTTAACTAACTCAGCAAATATACACCCAACACTCCACATGTCTATAGGGGTTGAGTATTCTGGGCTAAGTAACAGTAGTTCAGGCGCTCGGTACCACAGTGTTACCACGCCCGGAGTATATTGTTGAAGGGGGAATCCATATTCTCGGGCCAATCCAAAATCTGCCACCTTTAGAACACCATCTTGAGACAAAAGTATGTTGTCGGTCTTGAGATCTCTATGGATAATGTGATTGTCGTGAAGATGTTCTACAGCTTTCAAAAGTTGCGTCATTACGCATTTGATGTGTTCGGGGGAAAACATTAGATGATTTTCCCGCGCCGAGCGCAATAAACTTTTCAACTGGTGCGGCACGTACTCCAAAACGAGATAGATCTCATTGCTTCTAGAGCCCACCGCTATCTCCCGCCCTGCGACAATATTAGGATGTCGTAATTTGAGTAGGGTGTTCAACTCACTCTGAGCAGCGATGGAGAATCCTTCGCTTTCGTTCAGATCTTTAAGTCGTTTCAGAGCAACTATTTCATCTGTCGACTTATCGCGAGCTCTGTATACAACGCCATATGATCCTTCGTCAATTTTGTTCAGGTATTCGAACTCTTCAATGAACCGACTGTCCTTTAACGCTGAATGGAATGATGATTCAGTATCAGTAGGTTGTTTTCGTTCTTCTTTAATCTTCTTACATTTCTTCTCACTGTGGCTAGTCTTTTCTCTCCGGGCATCGTTTCTGTATCTGTACAAAATTCTTTTTTTCAGACCATGTATCTCTTGTTGAGTTTTTGGAAGTACAGATTTGGGTGGTGTGCGTAGCAAGGTATCAGCATTGTCGATTACGTTTAGAGGACCCATTGTCCGTTCGATAGTATACAATCACTTCACTTCACTTCAAAATGTGTTGAGTAGTAACGTTTGCAGTCTAAACTGTAAGTGCGCTCGTTCTTTAAGGTCCTGCCCTTATATAGGCCCCAAAAATACCACGCATCCTGAGAGATAATGACCACTTAATGGGCTTATTCATAGTAACACAATAGGGTAGTTCACAATTAGTTTGAATCGGTACAATATTTGTGCTATGCCTAAAACTATTATTATTACTTTGTTAATTTTGACGAGATAAATACTTTGGTTGATACAATTTGGTTTTGTTTAATAATAAGATAAAATATGTACAGACTCGTACCTACTTACTAAAAATGAAAATTAATAAATAAACTAAGCTAATAAAAACTAGGGAATGCAAGTTACTAGATTACGGGATTACTGTTGAGCATGAAACTCTTCACTTATGTAGTTAATAATAAATTATATTCTATCTTAATATTCAACTTAA